GCTCTCAAGTTTCTTCAGCACTGCCTTGGGTGGCTGCATAATCTGAAGAAGATGTAAAGGTATGGAAGAAAGTACTGACCTCAGTAATGTAATATGACCCCCAGGCGATAGTAATCGTGAGGCCCAACCTGATATCCTATCCCTTATCTTCTGGATAAGGTAATCATAAAGGAAGCTCTTCTTAGTCCCCTTGAATAAGGGGACACCCAAGTAAGTGAAAGGCTACTGCTGATGTCTGAAGCCAGTCAAAATCTCTAGTCGTCTAATCTGACTAGTGGATGCCCGTCTGGATAGTATAATACCGCTCTTGTCTCTATTCACCAATTGGCCAGAAACACCTTCATAGTGCTACAAGCAGTCTAAGACCCTCCTGATAGACTGTTTCTAACCGTTGGGAAAGATGATCATATCGTCAGCAAATGAGAGATGTGAGACAAGAGCACTGCCTCCATGTCGATAACACATACTGGGATACTGTTGAAACCTCTGAGTGAGCAAGCGTGAGAAGTAGTCTGCTGCAATGACGAACAAGGATGGGGAGATAGGATCACCCTGTCTGAGTCCTTGTGAGGAGGGAAAGAAACCACATGGCTGGCCATTTAGGAGTACGGAGAAATGACACTCCGAAACGCACCGCCTGATTCTGTCAATCCAGATCTGATCAAATCCAAATGCCTCCAATACAGAATAAATGAAGCCCCAATCCATGCGATCATATGCTTTAGCCATGTCTAACTTCAGCATAGTGTTTCCCCCTCGCACTCTATCATCCAAAGTGTAGAGAAGCTCTTAAGCTAATAAAACATTATCTCTAATCAGACGGCCTGGGATGAAACCGCTCTGTAGAGAGGAAATAATGCGCGGTAGCAGTGTACTGAACCGAGTGTTCAAAAGCTTAGTAATAATCTTATTGAACACTATGCATAAATTGATTGGTCTGAATTCAGTCCATCTGCAAGCACCATCCTTCTTAGGTAGCAAGACAATAGAAGTAGCAGCAAAACCCCCGTGGAAGATGACCACCATCAAAGAAATCCAATACCGCCCTATAAACATCCTCCTGAATGATATCCTAGCAATGCTGGAAGAATAGGGATGAGAAGCCATTCGGACCAGCGACACTGTTAGCATCAATACTGAAAACTGCTTCTCGTACCTCATGAATCAAAGGGGGACGGTTTAGTGCCAAATTATCGTCCACCGTCAATAGCCTCGGAATGACATCAGAACGGATGTGGTCCAAGGGTTATGGAGGAGCAGATAAGAGATCCTGGTAGAAAGCAACAGCCGAGGTCTGAATATCAGTAGGAGTAGATAACACTTCCCCCGCCTGTGTCCTGATAGACCTGATACGCGATTTGATCCTACGCCCCTGAACCATCGCATGAAAATATCGAGTATTGTGATCACCCTCACATGCCCAACGTGAACCGGCCTTTTGCTTCCAAAAGCCCTCCTCAATAGACAAGGTCCGGTTCAAAACTGCCTGGGCCTGATGTAGTAAGTTACGGTGCTCCGGTGTAGGATCTCTATCATATATTATCTCAGCCTCATCAACCCCGACCTCAGTATCGTGCACCTGCTGGATAATATCTCCAAATACATGTCGGTTCCACCAGCGCAGACCCTGTTTCAGCCTGAAGAACTTCTCCCAATGAACGATCATCCTTGTGAGATGAGTAGGGAACGACCACTTCTGGGAGACAAAGGCTAAAAAATCATGGTGCTTGGTCCAAACATTGAGGAATCTGAGTGGTCTAGGCCCCAAATCATCATCAGAAACCCACTGAAGCAGTAAAGGAGAGTGATTGGATGAAGTCAGATTCAAGTGTCTCATTGTAAGCTGTCGACAAAAAGCTGCAGCTGTAGAATTAATAAGTACCCTATCCAATCTCTTTCTGACCCGACCATTGGTCTAAGTATATCGGTTTCCAATGAAACCCGCATCCTCTAAACCACAGTCTAACATCATATCAGAGAAAGCAGTAGTGCCACGATTACGGGTATTATGACCAGTGCGCTCTCCATCATGTGTAATAACATTAAAGTCTCCCCTAACTAGCCAAGGATCGTCCATATCAAGGGAGATGTGGTGAAGACCCACCCACAAATCTCTCCTGATAGCAGCATTGCATGATGCATAGACTGGAGTCAAATAGATAGCACGCGCTAGTCTGGGATCCTCAACTCTAACGTGAAGAAACTGGGGATGATCAACAATAACAGTAACATTAGTCCCCGAATTCCAGAAAAACCAGATCTTATTCGATTCATTCTGAGCTCCCACGTCGAAGCACAGATAGCGTCGTGTATATGTAAAATTCTGCCGCAGAGCAAAAGGCTCTAATATAACTAGAAGATAAACCTGATGAAGCTGTATAAGTTTCTTCAAGCGCCGACGAGTAGCTATACCTCTCACATTCCAAATGATGGCATTCATAGGGAAGGAGAATGTGAGGAGGTATCATGTGACTGACTCCGAGTGATCCTTCTGCTCAGATGTGGAGTATCAGTAGCCCGTGGGTGTCTCTTCCGAACAACTGGGATAAATCCATCTTCCTCTGTCCTCTCATCCAAACCCACCAAGTCATCAGAAGAAGATCTTCAAAAAGGTCCCTGCTGGTGAACCTCAATCTGAGGTGAGCCCTCTGTATCTGAATGCGCTGACTGCAAAGATGGAATAGATGCCTCTACATTCTGATAACAAACAGGAGGAGAAGATAGGTACCTGAGCCCTACCCGGTGTCGGGCCTGGAATGTAAGAAGCTTTGCTGACTGTGTCT